CTGTAACACTAGATCATTACTAAATTGAATTCACATGCAGGATGATCTACTCTTTCCATAATAAGCTAATGACTTTTAGTTTTCATATTTTCTAACAGGAAATAGAAGAACATAAATTATAAGGTTCTACTGTAAAGGAATTTCTCGCAGCACTGTTCTGTTTTCGGTCCATTAAAGAAGTTATTTGTTTTATTAGCTTTGAATTATTCGTAACTCTGAATTCAGACAAGAGCAAAGAAGAAAAGGGTGGTTCCTAGTTGTAATAGAAAAATGTTTGTAAGTTGCTGTACACAACATGGAACTCCTCCCATGGTGAGTGGAGTCAGACCAGACCAAAGATGCAGATACTGGAGATTCCAATTTTTTTTTTTCCAGAAACAGCAAGATTGAAAAACTTTTTCTCCTTTAAAGACTTGGAAGAGAGACATTCAAACATCAGGGCGATAGTAATCTTTAGATTCGAGAAGATGGCTGCGCCGTAAGTGGAGTTTACATGATCAATATTGGTAATAATTAGTTGGAATACAATCCCGAATGGCTTTTCTGGTTCGACAATTTTGATAGACAACGAAGGATAGTCAAGATCCCTCGCCGATTACTATTGAGTTTTAAAACAAACTTCTCATCAGGAGGATAGATGAGATGATTCGGGTGAGATCCAATTTTCTATTCACTCGTGGGATTCGGATGATCCGGGAGGACTTACCACGACTCTTCTCTTCTCGATAATCCATACATCCCTTATCAGTGTATAGACAACCATCTCTCGTTTTTATTTCTTATTTTCATCAAAACAGATAAATAATTTTTTATTTTCTTTAAATCTATTAATTTTTAATTTTATCGAAATATAAACTCGATTCAAAGTTTATATTTGATATATACATTATACATAATATATACGTTCAGAAAATTCGTGTAATTCATAAATAGTTTTAAAATAACTAAAACAATTTGATAATTCTATAAGATTTAAATATAATTTTTGAATATTATATAAACACTATAATAAGTTCAAAACTATTCGTTTATAACGTTAAATCTAAAATATTTAATGAAATATTAAAATTTCTTTGAAATTCTATTTATTCACAATATCAAATAAATATTCATAAATTCGAATAATATATATGTGTATTTTTTAAAAATTTATTAAACTTTTTAAAATTTAGTACAAACTTATTACTTCTTAAATTCATAACTCGTTTCATATTACCCAAGAGACTCAAATACATAATATACAAAAAAATTACAACTCTTAAATTTTCAACCACAAAGGTATGAGTTTTATAATCATAAGATCAACAATTGGAAATTAATCAAGTTTGAAAATTCAACACAGATCAAATTATGCAATGATTCTTATATATTTATATACTAGATATATAGAACTATAATTTAGAACAATGAATCAATAAAAAGGGTACCCAAAATAGAGATTTAGAATTCTAAAACTTCTCTAACAATTTCATCCAAATCATGCAATCTTGATGTATATAAAAAATTTATAACGTATGATTGTAAGTAATAATTTAGTGGCTGAAATATCTTTAAAAATCACGAGAAAAACGAAAATTACTATTACTTCGTCGCTCGATTTCTTGCAACAATCGGTTCTCTAAGAATTCTGAACTTTCACAATTCTCGTATAAATCACACACACTCTTAGTATGCATGGAATTCATAGAGTATATATTATAAATAAAATAGTTTGCTAACCTAAAAGTTGGCTTATTGAACCCTTCGTGTTTTCTCTTCAGTCATCAACTTCAAAAATTTATAATTTCAATTCAAACATGTAATCTTTTTGTTTATGGAAAGTTTAGAATATATAAATTATAAATAAAATAAATCGATTGCAGAAAATTGACAAAAAAATATGGTGCCAAAATGCTATTGTGCCAATAACTCTTTCCTTTCATATATATATATATATATAGGTTTAGCTTCTATATCCAAATATTATGCAGTGGAATTCTAATTTAGGGTTTAGGATTGATCTTTTCATAATTATAAAAATACTTAATAATTTATAAAATTTTAAAAAAAATGACCTATAAATTTTACAAAAAATAATAATACAATTTATTTTAAACGCGCGATTAAATAATAATTATTTATTTTTCCGGACTAGATATTACAATATCAGTTGGAAAAGAAGAGGCAAGTCACTCGCTCACTATACATGGTTAAGTTGTCGATTACACACAACTATTCTGATTTATTATCATAGTTCACAACTCATTCGATGTAATTCAATGAACTCGAAGATATAACACGCACAATTTATTGAGTTTTCTGCAATCTAAATATTGAAAATTCATAAATCTAATCAAATTTTCATCCAAATCATATATAGTTTTTTCTTGTTTCCTCTTCTCTTCTCTTCTTTTCTCTTGTATTCCTCAGATTCTTTTGTATTTATAGATAAAAATCCTGACAAAATAAACATATATGTTAAATTCTTAATAGAAAATCTTCTTAGAAAATCTTAAATTCTGGGCTGGATATTATGTACAGTACTCCATTAGGAAAGAACAGATCATATCCAATAAATTAAAGTTTTTGGATTCACTCAATCAATTAGAAAAAGCAAACGCATTAATAATGAAATCAAATAAATACCATATCACATTACTTCGTTGATGATTTCTTATGCACCATCAATGATGGCTAAGCAGGAGTTTGTCCTTCTTTCTGTTCTAATTCTTGGCATTAGCCTATCTTATGGTACTGCTAACGAGGATCGGAAGGTAAGTTTTTTTGTCTTCACCGATAAGAGAACCTTACAATATTAGCTGGATCAAGTAATATGATGACGATGCAGGTCCATATTGTGTACATGGGATCACTTCCTAATGGCAAGTACTCTCCGGAAACTCATCATTCTACCATGCTTCAAGATGTTGTTGGGGCAAGGTGAAATCCTTGAATCTAACTAGTTGCAGTTGTATCTTTCACGTTCTTTAATTTTTTTATATTGTTTCAATGTCATGTCGTGTCTTGCCAGTTTCGAAAAAAATATATTGATAAGAAGTTACAAGAGTTTCAGTGGATTTTCAGCCAAGATCACTGATTCTGAGAGACAGAAGCTGGCTGGTCAGTAAAATTCGTTTCTTTTCTAAGAAAATTCAGCACATAGCTTGATCATGGGTGACAATATTACAAATTAGAATTTCTTTTTGTCTTTAAACTTTGAATGTCTCTGCAGAAATGAAAGGAGTAGTCTCAGTTTTTCCAAGTAGAATTTATCAGCTCCACACTACAAGATCTTGGGGCTTCATGGGATTCAATAAGACAACTGATCACAGGCTCCGTAATCAAAGAAAGGAGAGAGAGCTTGTGGTTGGTGTTATTGACAACGGAATCTGGCCTGAATCACAAAGCTTCAACGACAAAGGTTTTCGCCCTCCTCCAAAGAATTGGAAGGGTGTTTGTAAGGGCGGAAAAAATTTCACTTGTAACAAGTGAGTTTTAATCTTGCATATCTTCTGAATAATATGTGCGTTAGAGATCATTTACAATCACTTTATAATCTTGAAAATACATAACCTTACAGCAAAATTGTTGGAGCGCGATATTATATTACAGATTCAGTAAGGGATACTAATGGTCATGGATCCCATACTGCTTCAACAGCAGCTGGAAACCAAGTGAGAAATGTAAGTTTTTATGGCCTTGCCCAAGGTACTGCAAGAGGAGGTGTCCCTTCTGCGAGAATTGCTGCATATAAAGTTTGCAATGGAACTAGATGTTATTCAGACGCTATCATGGCTGCTTTTGATGATGCTATTGCTGATGGAGTTGATGTTATATCAATTTCCATAGGAGGAGACGGTGCTTTTGCTTTTACCGATGATCCTATTGCAATTGGCGCTTTTCATGCCATGACAAAAGGAATTATAACAGTGCAGTCTGCTGGAAATTCTGGTCCGGACAGATTTTCAGTTGGTAGTGTGGCACCGTGGATTCTTACTGCTGCAGCAACCACCATTGATCGTTCATTCATAGACAAAGTTGTTCTTGGAAATGGAAAGACTTTAGTAGTATGGATCAATAAGTCTCTTCCTTATTGACCTGTGATTTTTCTGCAGACTATACTTCATTTTTGTTTCTTATTCAGCTTCCTAATTATCTATTTTAATGATTGGCTCAATACAAACAGGGCAAATCAATTAATTCCTTTAGCCTACAAGGAGTAAAATACCCTTTGGTATATGGGGAAAACGTAACCAAGAACTGCTCTGCTCAAAGTGGAAAGTAGGTCCTATTATTATATCATTTGAAAAAGCGTTTCTTGATGGCGTCGGTACACTGATGATGAAGTAAGAATCTTTTGTTTTTTGTTGAATTTCAGGATGTGCAATGAAGGATGTATAGACAGTGCTTTAGTAAAGGGAAAAATTGTGCTGTGTGATATAGAGAAAGGATCCTTCGCTGTTCGTGGAGCTGGAGGTGTGGGATCAGTACTTGTTGACCCAAATTCTGAGAAGGTTTCCGAGATATACTCTTTACCGGCATCAGTTTTACTACCTGACGACTATGAAAGAGTCAAGACATACCTAAAAACAGCGAAGTAGAGATGTTAATACTGGGTGTCATTTTTCGATTTTACTTGCTAGATTTTAATGTTCCTCATTTAGGTAAGTCATTGTTGTGCCATATTTTAACAGCAACCCTGTAGCAGAAATACTAAAAAGTGAGACCATAGAAAATTTAAATGCTCCAATCATCGCCTTTTTTTCTTCACGTGGGCCAAACTCAATATTACCCGACATCATAAAGGTGCTTACTTCACAGTGCCTATATACCCATCGAGCTTTCATGTTTTCATCTCTTGGTAACTGCTAGCTTTTGTTGATATAAAACTTTGATGCATTAATGCAGCCAGATTTAACAGCTCCAGGGGTGGATATCTTGGCAGCCTATTCCCCTCTTGGTTCAATCACAGGTGATTATTTAGACAAGCGGCGAGTAGGTTACAATATATTGTCCGGAACCTCCATGGCTTCCCCTCATGTTTCTGGGGCTGCGGCTTATGTCAAGTCATTTCACCCTGATTGGTCTCCTTCAGCCATCAAATCTGCTCTAATGACAACTGGTTTTTTCTATCTCCTAAT